GTTCATGTACAGATGACATAAACAATCTCTAAATACGTAAACCATCAAACAGTGTACAGTATTCCTCAAACAATTCAAAGCAACACCATAAAAAAAAAAACTTCAATCTGTGATTATACTGAACAAATGTCCACATAATCACAATGATGTGATATAATATATTAACTTTGAGCTACAACAAGCATCAACAAAGCCAGATAATACACACCTCTATGTTGTTACGATTCGACAGTTTCACTGAAAGAAAATGTCCACTCTTTGCTTCGGTTCTAGGACAGGCATGGACTAACCACACTACAGTCCACGAACAATTAAAGTCCGGCCTCCAATTTGACCCAATAATTAATAATGTATGAAGCCCACACAGGGCGGATAGTTGTTTTTCTTTAAAACAGAACAGCGTCTCTTGAAAATTAAAATTGATCGTTTCTGGCCCAGATGGATCTCATATTGTATCTCATGAAAAGCCCTCGAGTGACATGTACCGACCAAAGTGTCAGTTCAAATCTCAAATTTTGGAGATTGGGTATTTATTTCAACTGATTTCACCCAATTTCCTCCTGCTCTGGACCACGAGATATTCCGACCTGAACACACTTACTGATGCCTGTTCTTGCCCACACCTGTTTTAGTTTTACGAGGATGACTGAGGTTAATCTCTGGGCCCTCAAGAGAAATCAAGAATCAGGAGTCAGGAAGCACTGCACATGATATAAAAGTTGTAGTGGGTTGTCTCTTGAGTCTGCTCTCATCTTTTAATTCTAAACCAGAGAGGTGTTTGCATGTGCAAAAAAGTTTCCAAGACAGCAGAGACAACGTTAGAGCGTAACACAATAAGCCTACTACTATACGCTACGGCCTTCAAGAATACGAGAAGAGTATTGCAAAGTCAGGTGGGGGGTTGTTCAGCCAATCAGCCAAGCTCCGCTACCATAAATACGTATCGTCTACGTACATGTTTACATCCTTATATTTATACACACAGACGAAATTGTCCAAGGTGGTCTCCAACTGTCAAGAAATAAAGTGGTAGTCTATACATGCCGACATCACGGACACTGTCAGTATAATTTTTTTTCCTTTAATACCGTTTTTTTTTTTTTACGCAAGGGTGGAAGTGGGACGCGGTGGTTTGTACAGGTGATTGCCGTAGATTTGGTCATAAGAGGACGTTGGACAGTAAATGTGTCACGACGCGGGGGAATTAACGCTCGTCAATTTTAGGGCACATGACGATGTTATTGGTATCATCTTAAAGCCTCTTTATTTGCCTTCCTTTAGGGGGAAAAAAAAATATAAATCTATGTTGAATAGAAGTTGAAATATTTGCAATTGAAGGAAGTCAGGGTCGCCTGGTTTCAGAGGTAAAATTAGCCTGAAAATGGCTGCCAAAGTTTGATAACTTCCAAAGCTTGAGAGTCCTTGAAAACTGAAAATATTAAAAATTTTTATGACTTTAATCAATGTTTGTCAGGAAAATGGACACAAAATTGTGTTTTTTAAATGGACATACATAAAAGGTGCTGAGCCGAAAAATGCAAATTAGGAAAAAAATTGCCCGTCGGACAACAAAATGCCAATTTCTTTGGTTGCATTGTTTTGACGAGCGCCTGATTTCATCACATGCCACACACATATATATATACAGTGGAGCCTATCCTAACTTGCACCTGTTCATATCAACCACCCGGATAAACCACTACCCCCCCGCCCCCACCCCATCGTGTTTTTAAAAACATCATAATGAGACTTACCATGGAGACCATCTGTCTAAGACGACCACTTTTTCTCCTCTACAATGGGCCATGATGGGGGATCATCTTGGACAGGTTCGATTGTAAAACTAAACCCCGGTATACCGCCATCCAAAGGGAAATAACTCACTATAATAATATTGTCCTTCAACTAATCATAGCAGAATAATTTCCCTTGGCAGTTGAGGATGTATAGCAAAACACGACCTCGGTGCTTTCTTGTCCTATCTCCATTTTTAATAACAGTGAAAACAGTTCATAACAAGGACAGAGCTGAAGAAGATGTCACATTTTCACTGTTTAAAAAAAATGGAGATACGACAAAGAAGCACAGAGGTCGCAAAAGAACAATATATAAAAAGTCCGTTATTCCATCAGCCCCGCTATACCCCCAACTTCAAGGTCATCCCAAGGTCGGTAGTATTCTGGGGTAGGACTGTGTATATAACACACACAAACACACACAACCTTACCACACGCGCGTACACACGCACACACACACACACACACACATACATCCTTACCACATACACACACACACACACACACACACACACACACACACACACACACACACACACACACACACACACACACACACACACATTCTTATACAAAATGTGGATAATACTTGAATGAGAAAGCAACAGACTGGGCACAGAAGGGAGAGAGCGCTAAAGCCAGGGAAACATGAAGCATACGGGCAACAATCCGATCATTTTATACCAACAAAATCATGGAGTAAAATTCTCAAAAATATATTACATCAACGGGTTGCAACATCGTAACTTGATCAAGTGAACATTGTCAATGGGAAGCACTGAGTCCAGTGAATGGACGCAGGCATACAGACAGTCGATTTTGCTGAGAATGATCTCTGATTATACGACTCTCAGCTGTAAAGAATTATGCCTTTTCGCGTACAGTGCAGCCTCTCTATAACGACCTTCGATATAACGACATCCTCTGTATAGCGACACGTTGCCCAGGTCCCGATTTTTTCCTTATAAATATATGATATATTATTAGTAATTCTTGGTTGTCTCTCTATAACCACAAATCTCTAGAAAGACATTTTTTTCTGGTCTCGACGACTTCATTATAGAAAAGTTGTACTGTACTTCTCACCTACCCAAGAGAGGGAGAGGGGAAAGAGGTGCAGCATCTTTTCTGTAAGCCCTTGACATCCTTGTGAGCAAAGTCCGCAGCGCATGCCATCAAGGTGAAGGCTCAAGGAACAACATAGCCATCAATAACAACAACAACAACGAAACATTCACAGGGCTTTTTTTTTTCAACAAACAAGTGATATTTATAAACTCAACTCAGCTTTGGAAGCAGAGTGTTACTTCTTAGTTTGAGTTTTACGGCACTTCCAACAAAATTAGGCTATTTCAGTGCCAAATATGAGAGGTGTTACAAGAGAGTAACATGCAAAGAAAAAAAAGAGGAGAGATTATGGCGATAGATGTTTGATACATCGAGTAAAGAAGAATCCGTTAGAAGGGAGCACAGAATAAACATGATCTAAATCAAAAGTTAGGCACAACCTCACATTTTTAAAGAAATTCCTTCCCACCACACCCAGCCCTTTCATAACACAACATTTTGTCACAATACATGATATGTAATTTCTCAAACATGTGGGCTCACAAAACACAAAAAAACTTGATCCGAGATTTGCATAGAGTCATAGAGAGGTCAACCTGTCCCGAGGAGGTCACCAGATTGGGAAACGTCTGGAGTAACCCCCACTTCACCAAGACATTGGACTTTGGATCACGTCTCTGGGTTTTTGGGGGTTTTTTTGTGAGTTTTTCACATTCCTGATCGAAGTAAGGGTGGAAATGAATGCTAAAGTTTTCCTGGTAAACAATAATTAAAACAACAAGATAAATGCGCAGTAGCTGATAGAAACATGGCAGATCAGAGCACAACAGAGGTGCCAAGATTTTCTTTGAACATTTTGCAGTCATTTGGCGCAATAACGCGACGGTGAAAATTATCCGTTCCGGTCACCCTCGCGCAGTTCTGCACCTGTCCCGAGAAGTCCGTTGCAGTCCCACTCCTGGCCGGGTGACCAGATGGGGTATTTCGTACTAATGGCTGTGTGACTGCAAAGTGTCAAGTCATACCCAAAATGGAAGAAACATTGGCCAAAATAAATGATTAAAAGTTCCTTTGAAAGCAGCATAAAAAGTTGTATAAAATGAGTGGAACAGTATTTTTTTTTTTTACATACAAAAGAGTCCTAGAGACATAAAACTCAGGAGCTCAAAAGAGTGCTCAGTTACAGTGCCAGTGAGCTTTTCAACGTTGAGAGTTGCCGTAAAGTCGGGAAAAGTTGACATATGATTTGTCGGCCATATTCCTCGAGATTTCTTCCTCTTTTGCCTTTGGCTGTTAAGTCAGGGATTGCTGACTATAGATTTTTCAAACAGCAGTGCACCTAATTTTATTCAGGAATACAATGAATGAATATTAAAAATCTGCCAGAATAATTTGCCAGGAAGAAAGACAAATTTCATTCATGCCGTTCTATTCTTTTCCAGGAGAAAAGATTTTAAACTGACAATACAATACACATCACTGTAGAAGATAAATGCCATCTTTCCCTGTTTTGTTCACATAACAATGACCAGCACAAGATTATCAAACAATAAAATCCCCGTAGACGTGGGTGATGAGTAAAACATATTAGGGGCAGTTCAAATATAATCTTACACCTTTTCGGGCACTTTTTGCCCCCCCCTCCCCTTTACACTTTTCTTACATCCCCCCCCCCCCCCAAATCCGGAGAAAAAAGATATTCTCAAAACAAGAAAACAATAGGGCGGTTAATACACACAGAACCGGGAAGAGAGACTGTACTATGCGCTTTACATAATATTCATGAAAAACATGCATACACACATACATTCACATAATAATATATAAGTGAAACTTTTCCGGGGAGAACCTTACAGTGTCATTTCATCACTTACCGCACAGGTGTAATCAAAATTAGACTACCGGAGTATAAAGTGCCAGATGACATATTTGTTCTTGCCGCTCCAGGACCTACAGTATCGCCACGGCATATCGCTGTAAGTGAATAGTGCACTCTCCTTTTTATGTGTTATTTTTTAAAAATTAAGTTGTCGTAATTATTATCCATGGTATTCTTTTCACCTCAGAAAAGGGTAATATTACGGTTTAAGACCCCCCCCCCCCCCCCCCCTTACTTACACTTTTCTTACAGGAGCCGAAGATCCCCCCTTCCCCTCCTCTCCCCCCTTTCCAGGCGTAAGATTATATTTGAACGTCCCCTTGGAACAGAAGAATAATGTTGTGACATTTCTAAAATCTGATAAAGCTGTCCTCCAAAAACCAAACATCCAGCCATACACGCCACCACACACACTCGACAGATCTGCGGCAGTTTACTTCTACTATCTAAGGGCTAGTCGCGTAATCGTGTAGCCGGTTTAAAGATTTCTTGGTGGTCTCGTAAGCCAGGAAGAGGGCGCCGGTGGCTGGGAACGTCCTCACGACTGTCGGTCCGAGTCCCGTGTAGAGAGCCTTGGGTCCTGGGGAGAAAGAAAGAAACAGTACATGGAGATGAAAAGTTGCGGGATGAGGAAGACAGGGAGACAGCAGAACACCATGCAATCATTAGGATGCGGGAAATAGGGATAGGGAGGGGAAAAGGAAGAAAGGAACGATGATCTGGAAAGGAAAGACGTCGCCATAATCAGACAGCCACTGGAACAATCAGTATGGATACCTTGCGAGCTTTGGTGCTGGGGGGAACTGAGCACTTATGGACCTGTCCGGAATGCAATGACGTTGTTGCCCAGGACAGGTAATACAGGTAATACATAATGTACCTCATCCACAGATGCCACAAATTTCAAAAACCTTCGAATGAAATTACGATCTTTCGGAAAGAAAAGTTTCTTATTTTTTGGCCCTAAACTAAAATCTGGAACATCTTGCCCCAGGATCTCAGAGAAATAACAAATTTTGATACGTTTCAGCGATTGCTCAAGACTCATTTGTTTAATTCTTAGTTACAGCGTGTTAGTAAGTGCTGATATGTTTGGTTTTTTACTGCTGTCCTTTCGTGTATATATATATATATAGTTAATATTTGGTTGTGAAGTTTCCTCTTTATGTGCTTGAACTGGTTTTTCTTTTTTCTGTGAAATATTTTATCTTGTGTAAATGATCATGTGGTTGGAGTAAAGCGTTCAGAGCGTATCCTAGTATGGGATAGAGTGCTATATAAATGCAATCTATTATCATTATTATTATCATTATTTATATTCTTCAAGGACTTTCTGGTACATAAGTCAAACGGTCCAACATACGAAAGCAAGATCACAGCTTCGGTTTTCTACTAGGAAATATACGACATAGTAGGCTTATGATGGCATGTGCTTTACCTAATTATTTACCTGGTCAAACCACACCAACCACCCACAGCTTCCGCAGGTGAGACTCTTGACAGCTCAGGAAAACTCAACACTCGTCATGGAAGGTCAATAAAGAGTTGTTTTATACTGCGACCTCAAAGCTTTTTTGTCCTATCTCCATTATTTTTTAACATTGAAAATGTGACTTCTTCTTAAGCTCACTTTTTGTAAAGAACTGTTTTCACTGTTATTAGCTTAATTTAAGTAAGGTTTTACGGCGCTCGCAACTGCATAAGGTCATATGAGCGCCAAGGGGTGGATGTCAACAAAGAAGTCTAAGTGGAGAATCACGCTTACTCTGCTCACCTCTCTAGCCTCAACAGCACTGTTATTAAAAATAGAGATATGAAAAGAAAGGACTGAGGTCGCAATACAGTGATAATTGTCCAAGAGGGCTACCCATTGTCGAGGGGAAAAGTGATAGTCTTAGACAGGGCAGTGGTCTAAGTCTAAACAGGTGACAGTCTTGGAGAAGTGGTCAGCACAGCAGGTTCAACTGTATTTGACAAAAAGTGTTGACCACAGCCAGCCCAATCAGGGAGAGGGACAAGCCCTGGACAGTTCATAAAAACTTTAAAGCCTACACCGCAGATCGGCCGAGTTGTTCTATTTACCTTCTTGTTGCAGAATCTTGAAGAACACGGTCCTGAACGTCGGAGGTTTGCCCGACACAGACTGGACCTGTATCCGAGACTTGACCACGTCGGCCGGGAAAATGATGACCCAGAGGGTGACCCCGCCCACTCCTCCACACAGGATGGTCCTCAATGGACCTGGTGAATGGGGGAATACAAAGTGAAAGTATAGTTGGGGACACACACATACACACACATGCATATACACAAACATACACACACACACATACACACAGACACAAACATACACACACAGACACACACACACACACACACATACACAAACATACACACACAGACACATACACACATCCACACACACATCCACACACATACACAAACATACACACACAGACACATACACACACACACAAACTTTCACCAAATAAACTTGAAAAAAGTGTGAAAGCTCTTGATCTTTATAAGACCACTGAGGCTGAAAAAATGAGCAAGGAATAAAAGGGAATAGTTCAGTTTTCGTAAGAATTTCAAGCCACTTGCAACACAACTAGGTCATAGAGGAGCCAATAATTGGAAGCATTACTAGAGAGTTGGTTTTTGTAAGAGTTTTATGGCGCTCGCAACTGCATAAGGTCATATGAGCGCCAGACGATTAGAGGTGTTACAAGAGAGTAACAAAAATAAAACAGAAGAAGGGGAGATAAGGACGATAGATGTCTCAGAGGAAAGAAGGAGCAAACCACACCAGGGCACCCGCCAACCACCCACTTACTAGAGAGTAACATACAAAAAAAAGAAGAAGGAGAGACAAGGATGATACATGTTTGATAGGAAAGAAGGCGCAAACCACACCAGAGCCTCCACAAACCACCCACACACGCTAAACGAGAACTATGTACCAATCCCAATCACATCAGACAGAAATCACTCAGCCACTATGCGACCTTTGTCCGACCTTTGTGTGACCTTTATCCGACCTTTGTGTGACCTCACCTATTTCGTCTTTGGTCTTCCCAGGAGGGGTGAGGAGATGGCGACAGATTTCGTAGCCCCCGAAGAAGAAAAAGTAGCCGGGCATCTCCCTCAGAAAGGTGGCGGTCAGGCCCTTGAACAATCCTTTCACTCCCTCCTTCTGGAGAATTTCCTTGGTCAGGCCAAACGGCCCTCTGAAGTAGAGAGTAGTAGAGTCTTAGACTCAGACTGACAGAGAAGTATACAGTCTAGCATGCGCATATCAAACATACACGCATAGCAAACACGCAAATAGCGAAAGCACACAAAACGAATATGCAATCGTAAAACATGCACATAGCAAGCACACGTATCACTTTTCCTACATGTATATTCTTTGTATTTTAAACATTTCCATAACGAAATGCGTACATATCGGAAAGACTTCAGCCTACAGATGATTTTGCTATTAGCTCACTGTCTGAAATAAGACAAAACCCCTTCACAATACATTCAAAACTAACAAAAACAATGATTGCATTTATATGGCGCATTTTCATTCTCTACACCGAGCTCCATGCACTTTACAACCAATATTATCCCAGTAGATCTCGGAACACCAAGAAGCGTTTCCAGCTTTCCAGGCAGCCTTCGGTGCAACAGTCGATTAATCGCTCAGGCACGGACAAACTGACCAGATCTTTCGGCGTCTAAAACCAGGTAACAATTCCCACCTGAGAGAAGTGAGAAGAGTGTTGTGTAAAGTGCCTTTCCCAGGGACACAAGGTTGTAAGTAAAGTTTGACAAGGAATTTGAAAAAGAACTGAGCACGATTTTTGACTGCAACACGTCACTCTATAGTGGTAGAAAAAATTTAATGAAAAGAAAAAAAAGTAACTTAAAAGATTGGAAAAGAACTAAGCTCTTTCTCCAACATAATAACCCCAAAAATTACAACAATACAGACTTTCTTTCCGATCATAAAAAACCCCTCTCACATCTTGAGTCTCTCCAGGCCACCCTCCAGCTGCCCTTTGGTAGCCATCTCCCTCATGGCTTGCAGACGACACTTGATCAGCTCCGTGGGACACAGCGAGAACGAGGAGAAAAACGCCGCCATTCCCCCAGACACCGCGTTCTCAAACGGGTTCAAGTTTTTCACTTCCTTGCCTCCCATCACGCCCGCAACCTGTGAACACGACAAGACGACATCATGGCAGGAACTGTTTAGTTTTAGTAAGGCTTTACAGTGCTCATCACTGCATAAGGTTTTAAACATATGAGCGCCAAGGTGTGTTTTAGTAAGGTTTTACGGCGCTCGCAACTGCATAAGGTCAAATGAGCGCCAAGGGTTTTTTGTTTTAGTAAGGCTTTACGGCGCTCACAACTGCATAAGGTCATGTGAGCGCCAAGGGGTGGGTGTCAACAGAGAAGTCTTTACAGGGAATCAGGCTTACTCTGCTCACCTGTCTAGCCTCAACAGCACAAAGTCTGCTTCGACTATCAAGGCACCCTGGAAATAGCAGTTCACAAGAGTGTGACAAACATACAAAAAAAGTAGTGGAAAAATGACAATAGTAAGGATGAGGAAAAGAAAAAGCAGTCGTTCCCCCTATGTTGTTCCGGCACAGTATGAGCATGACATTGATAAATCAGCCTATTTACAATCCTACTGTGCATAAGAACAGGTTAATATCCCCTCTTTGGGAAAGGCCAAAAGACAACTTCAGGCAGTGCTGGGGGGGGGAGGAAGACAAGACGACATAATTTATCTTTTAGTTGTAGTGTTTAACGGCACTTGCAACACAATAAGGTCACATAAGTGCCGAAGATTAGAGGTGTTACAAGAGAGTAACAAACACAAAAAAGAAGGAGGTGAGATAAGGACGATAGATCATGTTTGACAGGAAAGAAGGAGCAAACCACACCAGAGCACCCGCCAACCCCCCAGGAAGATGACATTATGGCAGGAAGACAAGACAACATAATGGCAGGCGTGATAACTTGTTCAACACTAAACTAGGGTCACATAGCGTTATAACTTTAACATCAGACTATGAGACAACAGCCGACAACGTTACATCGAGTGGGGCTGGTTTTGGTGCAGTGTATTATGTGATGTCTTCTGAGACTACAGATGGCCAAACCCAAGACGGTCCTTGGAAATTCAGAACAGTTGGCATGCCTGTAGTGGACAGTGTGATGTACGTTTGTGTGTATTTGTGTCTCTGCGCACGCGCGCGTGTGTGTGTGTGCGCGAGTGTGTGCGTGAGTGTGCTTGTGCCTGTGTGCATGTGTTCGTGTCTGTGTGTGTGTGTGCATGTGTTTGTGTGTGTGTGTGAGCATGTGTGTGTGCATGTATGTTTGAGGAAAGAGGGGCAGGGGGCAGTTGTTCTGATTTATGGTTAATAAGCAAGGGGTTAATAATATCAGAATATCAGATGTCTTTACATTCACTATCAGAAACTTTTAAACTATTTTCTAAAATCACTCAACTAACTACACGTACCAGCTTTTGACAAACGCCATAAAAAAGGAAGAGCACAGCGTTTTCCGATATGTTGGCAGCGAGGGAGGGGACCGTCCCGGCGTACAATCCACGAGCGATGCCGTCCTGACGGAAGGTCTTGAGGAAACAGTCGAGGCCGTTCCGGTACATGGTGGGGAAGGTCTGCATCTTGACCTTGACCGTATCCAGGGGCTGGCCCACGTACACGCTGGTGATGCCTCCTGTAGGTTGTAGATGGGGGTGGGGGGGAAGAGGGGGTATTATAGATTACTTTATTAAGAAGAGAGAGAGAGAGAGAGAGAGAGAGAGAGAGAGAGAGAAACGCAGAGAGAGAGAGAGCAAGAGAGACAAATAGAGAGACATACAGAGACAGGGAGAGAGACAGAAACAGTCAAAGATAAGAATGACAAGGAGACAGAGACAGAACTATCAGCAGATGGAAAGGCAGATACCTACTGAGAATGCCATAATTCTTCAAACCAAATGCAACTACAAAAATATCATACAGTGCTTGGGAGTCAATAAAAGATCTCATAAATATAATCGTTCTCAAAAAGTCTTTAGAAAAGAAAATATTGCTAGCACATACATATTGTATATAAACTACAGCATTATTCTCATTTATTTTTCAAAGCCTACCCATGGTGCCTCCTGCGAAGTCAATGACAGCGTCTGCGGCAGTTGACCTTGACTTTGCCGTGAGGCCAGCCTCGGCTTCGATTAACTCAATCGGGGGCTCCATTCTTCAGGGCACGCAGATCTCTGATCTGTCACTCTCTGAAATTGTACAAGTAGGTCACGTTGTAACATGCTTCGCAAATTTATCCCCTGTTGGAACATTGTGAGGACTAGAAAAATTCCAATTTCATATTATGAAACCAAACCATACTAAAATAGTAAAATACAAGAGAAAATTATGTACAGTGGAACTTTCCCTAACAGCCACCTGTATAAGACAATCACCTGTACAAATGGCCACTTTTCATTTCCCTCCTTGAATTTTTTTTACATTGTTACGACAATGTGTAAGACAATCATCTGTCTAAGACAACCACTTTTCTCCTCTACAATAGGTGGCCGTCTTAGATCATTTTGACTGCACTTGCGAAATAAAAATATTGATAAAGTAATATATAAGTAAACATTAACAGTCATTTAAACTGAATTCATGCATTTAACAAAAGCAAATAGATCAAACCTAATGCCGCAAAAATACGTTTTCAGAGAACAGACAAGGAGCAAACTGGCCGGAGAGAGGAGAAAACACACAGGGCTCCTGTAACACGTGTAGAAAGGAAAACTGTCAGTGGAGTCACAGGGCTCCTGTAACACGTGTAGAAAGGAAAACTGTCAGTGGAGTCACAGGGCTCCTGTAACACGTGTAGAAAGGAAAACTGTCAGTGGAGTCACAGGGCTCCTGTAACACGTGTAGAAAGGAAAACTGTCAGTGGAGTCACAGGGCTCCTGTAACACGTGTAGAAAGGAAAACTGTCAGTGGAGTCACAGGGCTCCTGTAACACGTGTAGAAAGGAAAACTGTCAGTGGAGTCACAGGGCTCCTGTAACACGTGTAGAAAGGAAAACTGTCAGTGGAGTCACAGGGCTCCTGTAACACGTGTAGAAAGGAAAACTGTCAGTGGAGTCACAGGGCTCCTGTAACACGTGTAGAAAGGAAAACTGTCAGTGGAGTAGACAGCGGGGAGATGAAACACACACCTGACATAGACAGCCATAACACCCCCATCACATTACGTATGGATACTGAAATGATAATGAGCATAAGAGAATGGTTGGCGGGTGTTCTGGTGTGGTTTGCTCCTTCTTTCCTATCAAACATCCATCGTCCTTATCTCCCCTTCTTCTTTTTTATGTTTGTTACTCTTTTGTAACACCTCTTATCTTCTGGCGCTCATATTATGACCTTATGCAGTTTCGAGCGCCATAAAACCTCTACTTACTAAAACTAAAAACTAATGAGTATAAGAGAATGCACTTTGAGGTCGAGCTACCATCAACCAGTCATCTCTTCAGACAGTACATCTCACATGTGTGCTATTTGTACTGTATATATTTTATTCATCAATGTGCTATTTGTACTGTATATAGTTTATTCATCAATGTGAAGGAAAAAGTGGACACAGGACTTCACCCTTTATGTTTGAGTGTAAAAATTCCAAGTTTTATAACAAAATCCACAATTTAGATTATTTCTATCTGAAATCATTATTCAAGAATTATTCAAGTGGTGTCGGTGGCCTATAGTGGTAGGCTATCGGACTCGTAATCGCGAGGTTGTGGGTTCGGGGATTCGAGCCGCGGGCCCGACGTCGTGTCCTTGGGAAAGGCACTTTACACAAATTTTCCTCACTTCACCCAGGTGAAAATGGGTACCAAGCTATAGACAGCGAAAGATCTTGTCAGTTTGTTAGTGTTTGAGTGCTTAATCAGTTGGGAAGCTGAGAATGTTTCTGAGTGTTCTATAGTCTGCAGGGGTAATAATATAGTGTAAAGCGCATAGAGCTTGATTTCGAGTGAGGACATGCGCTATACAAATGTATCTATTTATCATTATTATTTTCATTATCATTACTTACTCTTCAGTTGGGTAGGGCACTGTTGCTTTTCTAATCTTCTCCAATTTTCCCTCACAACTGAAGACACAAATGAATTCATTTTTTACCAGAATGTCAGAAAACAGCAACATCATCAACACTACTTAGAATATAAAGGACTTTGTCATCGTGTTCACAACAAACTTGCAACTAGATTTTTTTTCTCCCACATAGATTGCTTTCATTACCAGGAATGAAGAGTTTGATCACACTCACTGTAGTGTGCACACAGTTTAGCATTTGAAGAAATCACAAAACTTCGCAAACATCACGAAAAATGACTCTGAGAGTAGATTATGTTTTCTCCGGTACAGAAAAAAAAAAAATTCTTTCTTTTTCTTTTAATAAGAGCTTTACAGCACTTGCAACACAATAAGGTCATACAAGTGTCGAAGACTACAGTGGTTACAAGAGAGTAACAAACACAAAAAAGGGAGGAGGAGAGATTTTAAAGGATGACAGAGGTTTGGAAGGAAAGAAGGAGTAGACCACACCAGAGCACCCTCCAACCACCCCAAACTTTTTTCAATTACCAAAAAGCCAGCACGTTCCCCAGAGAACACGCAATGATGCACAGGTGCTGTGGCACGAGACATTATTATGCCCGCGAGAGAGTGAGAATGATAGCCATACTGATACACGTCACTAGACGTTAAACAGCCACAGGTTTAAGAGTTGTGAGGTATGCAGGGCCAAAAAACAAGGAATAACACAAGCATACTACACGCACGCACGCACGCACACACACACACACACATTGACAGACACAGAGAAAGCCACTGAAGTAACAACTAGCCTTAAATAAAACAATTTATATAAATATAAAATAAATAATATGGCGAGTGAAGAAAAAAAGTCAAGATAACGTCTGGGGAGATTCATTCTCACCACAAATATTCCATTGCGCTCATATGACCTTTTGCAGTTGCGAGCGCCGTAAAACCCTATACTGTCTAAACAAAATATTCCATTCATCTTTAGAATGTAGCCTGACACAGGTAACAAACTCCATTCACAATCATTTATTACAACAACAGGTAGGCTCTTTCTGCATTACAAATATAAGCACATGATAGTCATTGTTGTCCTGACAAGAGACATTTAATACAATATAATGGGTCATTTCAAAACTCAAAGAGTGCTCGTTCCAGAAAACAGACGAATATATTTATGCTTTATAGAACCACCCTAAGAAGACATTGACACAAATCTCAGCAGAGACAGCAATTCCTCTGCGAAAGAAGAATATATATCATCATGAAGAAACTATTCTCACATCTCAACTGAGTCCACTCCTTTAAAAAATATGCCAAAAAAACTTCTCTGTAAACAAAAAGTTATGAATTAAAACTCAGAGACACGTACAAACCAAACCAGGAATCACATACATACCAGTTCAGTTGGAAAAACTAAATGTTTGTGCTAAATTCTATAAAAAATTATTTTGCCTTTTCACTTTTCATCTGATCTCAAACAACTACAACAAGTGACAGCCATACGACAGTAACACCTGTGTACATACCACGCCAGGGAATTTTGGCCTATTTCAACCTGCCACAGACCAATGCTCAGCACAGCTGGTAATTATATGGGATTTTTCAAGGCTTTAGTAGGCCTTAAATTTTATAACATTTGCAACAAAATCAATAAATGCTGCAGATTAGAGAGGTGTTACTAGAGAGAGTAACATACAAAAAAGAAAAAAAGGAGAGTTTTTGAGGACAACTGATGTTTGATAGGAAATAAGGAGCAAACCACACCAGAGCACCAATTAACCACCCATTGTTATATGGCAGGTTTCACAATTAATGCGCACTGAGGTGGTGAGATGTTTCAATGCCTATAAGTTTATGTTTTGTTGAAATAAACAATTTTTCAAACTGTGTTTGTGTTGTGTTTTCTTCAAATAAACTAGAAAACCATTAAAATTTGTTGATTTTTTGATTGTTCATTTTTTATGACTGATCTTAGGCTGTCTATCGTCACTTTTCAGAAGGACACCATTTCCCATTTTCTAGGTCTAGTCAGATAGCTCATCTGGATAAGGCCAAAAACTCTTATTTCCACAAAAATATTGTGTAGAATTTGGAAAATAGCCTTGAAAGGTTTTTCAAACAGCAAATCTCAAGCCTACATGTCCGTAGACCTAGGCTAGGGATCGATAATTGGGTAGTATATTTATCACACCTGTCCATCTGAATTAGGATGCTCTCAAAATGCCATCTAAACCTACCTTTCTATATGAAATCCGTGAAAAACTTGCCCCCATGTGAAACTAACACTTATTCTGAGCGTGTAAGTCGAAAAAAGTTCGTTTTTTAGTCATTGGTTAAGAAATTATGGGCCGATATTCTCACGTGACCCGTGTCCGTCTGACAGAAAAATGACGATCGACCGCGAACAAAGAAAGCTATTATCGATACCACGTGACCGAAAACTCTAATTTTTTCCTTGTTCCCGTAATCGCGGGGACGGCTGGTCTGGACATCTTGTGTGAACGGTTCGTCCGCACTCGGGTTTAGAATGTTGTCCATCCGATGGCAATCGACCTAATGACGATCGACAAGAATGTTAGTTTTGCGTAAATATTCCGCATTTTCTCATCAAATCGGAGTTTCTGATACTGTTTCGTGTTTATTCATTCATCTTTGATATAAGACTAGATGAAAAAACCCAAGAATGGAGTAAATAAAGGGAATAGTAAATCATCCCGATCGAAAGAACATCGCAAACGCGCAATTTGAGTCGAACATTCTAGATTCGGATGGACATTCGAGGTAGATCGCGCTGATGGTAAAAAATGCACTGAATTTTCGTGACGGATTCGGAAGGACGTGACATCGCATGGCGTCGGAAAGAATGTGTTTGCGCGTTTCAGTTTTGCGTGGGTTATTTATTGTTGATCTTAATGTAATTTCGCTACTTTAACCAACAAAAAAGCAATTTGATGATTGAAAGGAGGAATATTGGAACAGACTTTTGAGGTGAAAAATAGAGCTTGATCTAGATCTAGATCTAGGCTACATTATCTACATTCTTCTAGATCTAGATCTAGATCATTTGTGGGTTATTTTTTGGCACTTTTTACTATTTTTAACATAAACTTGGAGGGCAATTTCAGTCTTTTCTTTCTGTGTTGCTTAGTTAGGGTCTAGGCTGCTGTAGGCCCTACAATCAGTCTTGGTGGAGTTTGGACTTGGGGTTATAAAATTATTTACTTTTTTTTTTGCAGGCCATAGATATTATAGATTTCTTTTCTAGATCTAAATATTTTTCAATTTTTAAAACATTTGATACTAGATCTAGAATGTAGAGTTCACCTACTTGTTAATTTCTACTCCTTTGCAGGTGAGATCATGTTTAAGGCCAATGAAACAATGTTCACAGACTTTTTTTTTACCCCTTTGCAATTTAGATGTGTATGCTAGAAAAGAATTGTACATTGTACATCATTTGTCTACTCCTTTCATTTGCAGATGAGGTCCTTCTTGTTGAGGACTTTACCAAGAATAGAAAAAACAACTTACCTTTATGTAGTGAAGTCTGCCCACTTCTGTAAGAGGCAGATGACACTCTATCCAGTAGTCTCTCATTACAAAAATGACGACATAACGGACTCATGACACACACAATGAATTTACATTACTACAGACAACATCACTGATGATTTTAACATGGTTAATCACCTGACAGTAGGACTTGACAATGTGACAAAACTGAAAGACCCCCACTTTCAAACTCACATCTCTGCCATACAAATAATGTGAGGCATCGTGGTGAAATCAGGCACTTGTCAAAATAGTGAAATCGAAGGAGCAGGCAATTTTCTGCCAGTGTTTGAAAATTTTTATGAAAATTTTGTTTTTTGGCTCAACGTCTTTTATTCCCCTTCAATCACAAATATCTTGACTTCTCCTCGAAATTAATGGGTATTGTTTTCATCGAAAGCAAGACAAAAATAATTAAGCTTTCAGATGGTACCAATAACCCCACATGCCCAAAATTCGAAGGCCTGATCTGACCGTGTTGTGACACATTTAATTTTAATTAAGCCTTCCTGAGGATTTTATTGCTTTTGTGTTTCTTTTCTGTATTCAATTGCCAGTACAGTGATTTGGGGTTTGTGGTTTTATTTGTATAAATAAGGAATTTACGAGTATTTCTGATAACCCCCCTGAAATCACGTAAATCTCAAAATTACTCTGCTTCTGAGGCAAAATAATGCACCTTTCCAAGGGTTAATGTACATAGTGTTCTCTTTTTTACCACACACTGTTACTTAATATTCATTTCCCATTGGTTTTCTGTGTTTATATGATGTATTTTTGGCAAAATAACCTTTCAAATGATATTTTTCCAATTTTCAGGGGAGATAACCCAATAATTAAAAATTATTGTTTTGCCTCTAACTTGGCTATCTTTCTGTGAATTTTCATTAAAACTTGTCCATTAGTACATTTTAAATTACTTTTTCATATTACTAAGAGCTCAGGAAAAGTTTGTGCTTTGTTTGACAATTATAGAATACTATACTTCATTTTTTAATTCAACTGCAGGGTTATGTAACAAATTGAGTAATCTGGGTATAAATCTTGGGTTTCCAGCTTTTTTTCTTCCTATGTAAGCTTTTTGGGTGTTCTTCGGTGGATTGTGAATATTTTTGTGTTACATTTGTGTACTTTATGTGATTTACAGAGAGATTTCAGTAAGCTTCTTCATTTAGTGAGAATCAGGGGGAGTTAACTTTGAAGGTCTCTTACGCACATTGCGATGAGCTGACGCTCATAAAATATGCATTTCTAGCATCCTGAAATGTTAAGCTTTCAAACAGTATATTATATGTCATGTTTTATAACACTTCATATTTGGTCAATTTTGGGAAATGCTGAGCACCCAAATTGTGAAACCTGCCATATATATAGTTGCGTCAATTCACGCTGGAGTAGGCACTCTCATGGTCTAGAGGTACAGTGTTCACCTCTCATTCAAAATTCAAAAGGTCCTGAGATTGAAACCTGGCAGTAACAAACATCTTCTTCTTTAGAATGTTCTCCATTCATGTAGATTTAAATCCTTTCCTATCATCCAGTCCTGATCTGTCCTTTGCTTTTATCTCCACATCATAAACCCCCCCCCCCCCCACCACTCCACCCCAACCCACCCTCCAGCTGTACAAGCCCTCCTCTCTCTGTTATTCCTGACTGTCTCACAGTTGCTATAAAACTATATAATTATTGAATGAAGGCCTACTCAGCCTACTGGCTCTTTCTTACTGACTGTCTTTCAGCCACACTCCTGATTTCAGCTCTGAGGGCTTACGGGAGGTAAAATCTAACACCTAGCCTTCTCGCATACACGGGAAGTAAATATCGAAAGTCCTATGTATGTGCAAGTACTTGTACACACGTGTGAAAGATTCCTTGGTGGTCCAAAAATCAATAAGAATAGCCTAGGCTTCGGCCACCACCCAGGCAAAATTCAAAATTAGATCTAGTTCCTACCAAAACGGAAAATACTCTAGAGTCTAGTCAGAAAAATAGATCAGAACCTTAGCACTAGTGCTGGGACGATACCACTATTTAGGAATCGATGCGATACCCGATACTTTTTCAAGGAATCGATTCGATTCCGATACTGATACCTAGTAGGCTTTACCAATACACACACCATCATCATCCAGTGCCAGATCTGCAACAGACATCGGGGATCATGGTTTTCCATTAATTCCTTTGCTCGGATGCTCTCAAAAAAGCTACGTTTCCCTGATCGTTCCCTGTTACCCATTTGTTTAGGTTCCTTAAGTATGTTGTTCTGGGCCTACCCCTGCCTCGCTTACCCTCAATTTTGCCAGTGACAGCTAGATTTCTAGATGTTCAAGACCCTTATGTCTATTCAGGTGTCCCAAAACTGCATCGTTTCCTGATCGTTTTTAATATATTGAGAGTCCCACTTGGGCTTCATCACACCAGGCACCCAAAATCAACACATTAACCAGAGAATGCAAATGTTTTTTTGCCTAATAAACACTTAACCTGTGAAGGATTTTCCTTCTCAAAATGTTCTCTCACAATACTAGTCTTTCTTGATGCCATGTTGATTTATAGGCAAAGAGCGCGTTTCTTTTTTGAACCTGATGTTTCGATAGGACTTGAAAACAACAAAAGTATCATCCCTTGGATCAGTGAATTGCCTGGGAATAATTAGTCCTCATGTATCGATCCTTTTCGAAGGTATCGATTCGATTCCGATACCAAGAAGGTATCGGGTATTGATGCATCGACGAATCGATTCCCGCCCAGCACTACTTAGCACCAGTACCTTCGATACCAGATATTATGTGGCTGCCAGAAGTGCTTGGATGCAAGCCTTGGCAAGGGGCCCCAGATCTAGATCTAGATTCCAGATCTAGGCCTAGATCTAGATTCTAGATCTAGATCTAGAAAATCTAGATCTAGATCTAGATCTAGATCATAATATAAAATAACATGTTACAGTTTAAATTTAAGTCCATGCCAAGAGGCATCAACTTGCTTTGCCTTTTATTTTACTTTTCCCCATAACTTTCTCTTGTTTGTAATCGCCTGTTGCATGGTTTAGGCTAGATTATATAATAAATAATGATTTTGTCTATAGGCCTATCCTATAGGGTAGGCTATGTTTCTCTGCCCTCCCCCCTCTATCCACTATCTATCTCTCGTTGTTGTAATGTATGCCCTCACTGCTATACTAGATCTATCTGGCGTTAACAAACACTTGAAATCATCAGTCATCATTATATTGCAAACCTACTTCCCTTACCGTCACAAGACTTAGATTCTAGATCTAGATCTAGAAACAGATGCACAATTTCATCAAAGAACTTACAATTCCAACTTGCACAGCAGTAGATCTAGCAGCCAACTCCTCGCCACATAGGTCGCGGGTCAAACACGTAAAACAATCCATGTTTTTAAGCAGTCGCCGAGGAGTTACCCGTTGCCTGGGGGATTATACTAAATTCTTTATCTTCCAGGAATTTTGAACTTCATAAACTGTTTTCTTTCTTTCTGTGGTTTTGTACCCCTACCCTTCTTCTTGTTTTCGTCTTCTTTTACTCCTTCTATTATTTTTACCTCTAGCCATTATATGATATGTCGTTTTTATTTCCTGTAACTTTCCTTTTTGCTGTCTTCCTTGATCATCGTGTCTTCTATTTGTTCTCTTCTACCCAACCTGACTTCTTGTCCTTCTCTACTCATTGTCCACTGGTTTCTCCCTTGTTATATATATATGTATTGCTGGATTTCCGTTTTCCCTTTTCCTTTTCAAGATTCGAAATTTCGTTCCATATCTTCTTCCTTAATCCTTTCAACACACGTTCCCTTCTGTTTCTTTACTACTTCCCCCCCCTTGTCTCTCTGTAATTAAGTGTGCTTCCACTTCGACCCCTCTACTTTCACTCTTTCACCCCAGCCCGTCTTTCTTTCCTTTTCTCTCCCGTTAAAGATTAACCCCACGAAATTATCAGCTACAACATTACAGAGTGCTCTTGGCTCAATTCGTCTTTTTGTAGGCCTGTGTCTGTTTTCAGAGCGGGGTTTTCGGCCTACAAATTATAATAATTATAACTATATAGAGAGAAAAAATCCGTAACACGATGAAAGCGGGTTCTTATTCTGACCGGGCTCTTACGCGAAGTGCTCTGAGGCGGAGA